CAGTCATGTTTGCCCAGTGATCTTTCCATCCAGCACGAGCCTTGCATGGGGAAACAGACAGAGTGGCCGGGTGAGCCAGTCAGCAAGCGTCCTCTTCAGCAATGTGGCTAGGCTGTGAAACCTTCCTGGCTCCACTGCCAGGCCTCGGCCTCATGGTGCCACCGTGTTTGTGACATTACAGGCATGCCTGCAGCAGCCTGACCTGAACCAAGGCAGGGCAAGAGAAGGGGCACATAGAAGACACAGCCTTGCAGGAGGGAGGATGCTCAGGAATTAGTGATTTCTCCTTATCCTGAAACACCAAACAGCTTCCTCACAATGAAAGGAAATCCGGGATACTGTCCCGGTCCCCTTTTATATCCCCCATTCCAGCCTCCGTGAGGACCTGCCTCCCCTCTTCTTTTCCTGCCGAATCCTGTGGGACTTGAGTAGCTACAGATAATCCTTTCATCCCCTTTTCCAAGTCCGAGGTGTCGACGGGTTGATGCATCAGCTTGGGAGGGAAGGGACGCAGAGCGGTCTGAGTTCCCACAGTTGCCTTGGGGCGAGACGGCACCCCTACCAATGCCTCTTGACCTGGAGCTTGGGTCTCACAGGAGGATGGTATACACTGACTTGAGCTCCTTGCAGGAAAGACAGAGTGTACATGTAATGAATAAATGATTTTTGCAGAACACACAGTAGTGTAAGGTAAGGGGAGCTGTATGACACCCAGGTTTTAACTTGCCTTTCATCTCATCACTAGCTTGAGAGTCCGCCATCTTTTGGAAAAAAAAATATAAAAATACACAATATTGTATTATTAGAGAGGCTGCTGGAGCTGTTGGGCTCAGACAGTTACTGATTTCATTTATACAGTATTTATGAACTGTTGGCTCGTTCAGTGATTGAGGTCTCTGGCTGGGGAAACAAAGTCTGAGCATTCCATTCTCTACTTGTGCTTCCTTGACAGGGGCTGGAGTTGATGGTCCCCAGGGTCCCTTCTAGTTCTGCAGTTCTAAGATCGTTACATGACAGTTTAAAATTTGTATTAAGGTTTCATTACTCTGGAGCAGCTGTTTAACTCTGTAAGGAAAGGCAGCCTACCTCCATACACCATCAGGCTATTATGTGCAAATATAGGAGTTTAGAAATTGTGTCTGTGTTTAAAAATAAATGCCCATTTTCGTAGAGAGGGTGACTGAAAATCAATTCCTTTGAAGTTCTCCGAACTTCGTACTTGGGTGTAGGAGGATCTGTAACTGACGTACTGAAAATCAATTCCTTTGAAGTTCTCCGTACTTCGGTGTAGGAGGATCTGTAACTGATGCGTGTTTATTTTTCTTTGCAGCTTTCAGCATGAGTTATGTAGTTGGAAATTAATCCAGCCTGGGATCAAACCAGGACTTGAACGTATGCCAGACATTGATTCTGGTGTTGCTCTTTCCATGGCAGACGTGCTGGACTTCAGGCTGATGGCGTCTGGTACAGCAAGCCGCTCTGAAGACGAAGAGTCTCTGGCTGGACAAAAAAGGAGCTCATCACAAGTTTCTGGGGCCATTCCAAAACGGCGCAGTTCTTCCAGGTACCTATTTTATTTTAAATCATATATTGTTTAATTTGTCTTGTGGTCCAGAGCGCATTCCCAGAGAGGGACCAGGGCAGCTGGGTGAGAATTCTTGTTGGAGAAACTAAAAGTGGAGGGGTCATCTTGCAAGGGGTGTCCATGGCACAGGCAGGCACAAAACTAGTTCTGTGGAGGACACTCACCAGAGACGGGAAACAGCTTGTGCAGTGACCCTGCCATTCCCAGTTTCTCCTAGCAGGATTCTGGCCCTCATATCTGAAGCATTTCTGGCAGTGAGACTGGAGCAGCTGAGTTGTGTATTTGCCACCATACTTGTTTATCGTTCGCTTCTGGGGCCTAGGACCAAATAGTCGATGTATGGTTTGGCTCTCATGTGCAGAGGGATGCTTGCCTGTGGAAATCCGCTGTAAATAAAACTTGTCTTGGACGGTTCTTTTAGGCTGTCCAGGGCAACACTAAATGTCTTTTCCTCCTTACACTTTACATTCATTGAACTGGTTGGAAGCAGGACTCATCATTTTAAATTGTAGTCTGTACATTCTGGCTGATTTTGGCCTGTGGTTCCCACTTGCCACCACCAGTTTGAGATGTGTGTGAAATTTTGTCAGTGTCATTCCATGCTTTAGAGGTGCACGGGTCCTCTGAGGTGCCTCCCAAATCCTATTTAATGTCTGGGTTTCCCCATTCCATTCCTCTGAACTTATCACAAATCCGTTTTGCAGGATCTAGATATGCCTACCAAAGACAAGTTCATTGGTAATTTCCTTCAATTTAAGGCCTAGAAGTGGCATTTTAAAAGGGTATTTTTTGTTAATGAGAATACTATGGTTTGACCTTTCTCACTGTGGGTACAGTATTGTTACAGTATGGCCAAGCTGCCTCTGCTAAGTCAGTGTGCATAAGAAGGGCAAACTCGGTGCAAAATGCCAGCTTGTCAAAGTTTGTCTTAATTACGAAACCAAACCACCCAAAGTACTATGACTGTATCAGTAAGTGTCATGCTAGGTGTTGTTGTTTTTTTAAACCCAAATTTGTCCACTGAGATCTGATGGCAGGCTGTTTTCACACACTGTGTTAAATGAAAAGGCATACATTACAAATCGCTTCATAGGCTCATCCTCTAAGGGATTGCGTGGGCACCCTGGGCTGATATTGTTGGCCAGAGTGGTGAGGAGAGCCTTGGAAGAAGCAGCGTGTTGCTACCGGGTACTGCAATGTGGATCTTTGCCCTTATAGGTTCATCAAGCGGAGGAAGTTTGATGATGAGCTGGTAGAGAGCAGTCTTGCCAAGTCGTCCAGCCGGGCCAAGGGCCCTACTGGGGTGGAGCCTGGGCGCTGCTCTGGCAGTGAGCCCTCTTCCAGTGAGAAGAAGAAGGTGAGTTGAGTGATGTCTCCCTTGCTGAACGAGAGCTACCCTGACAGATCTGTGGCTGGGCAGCCTGGAACGGCGGCTCTCAACTTGTCATACTTTATATTTCATCAGTCTAGCAGTTAAAGAACGTGGTTTCCACCATGGTAGAAACAAAAAGCATATCTAGATGTTTACAGTCTGTCTGTTATTATGTTTATCATTGATGGTACATTTTAAGGACCTCAGAATTTAATTAGCATTGTTGGAGGGAAGCACAAATGAATAAAAATAATTATATTAATAGCTGAAAGTTATAATTATGCTACTAGAGGTGTATGCTAAACATAAATTGTACTGCCACAGAAGCTATAAACACAGAGTTAATGAATTTAATAACCATACAATATTATTTGTAATAAGCCTGTGAAAGTCTTTTGTTCCATCCACACTATTTCTGTGTCCTTCCTGTGTTCATACATACCACCAGTTAAGAACTGGTTGATTTAGGACTTTCAGGTGTTCAGACCTCCTATAGATATGGCTGGCCTTCTTTTGCTCTAGTGGGTCCCTCTTTATAAGCCTGCAATGGAATGGGTCTGTGGCAACTCTTTGAAGGAGGTCCCACTGCAGTCTCCTCTAGGCGAACTTCTGTGCCTTCTCAGGTCTCCAAATCCATCTCTGCGCCTGTCACTCCAAGCCCAGCTCCAAACCCCGGTCTTACCAAGCGGATGAAGAAGAGTAAGCAGCCCTTGCAGGTCACCAAGGATTTGGGCCGCTGGAAACCCACCGACGATCTCCTCCTGATCAATGCTGTGCTTCAGGTAACGGGATGAGGTCAGACAGGAGATATAGACTAGCAGTTACATTGTTTTCAGTCAGGATCCCTGACGGGTGAGGAGCAGTGTTTGAATTAATAAGATATTGCTCTTCCTTCAAAAAGCCCAGAATGACTTCCATGAGATTCCCATGATCTTGTAGATCTTTCCTTAATTAATAACATCCCATGCCTTGAGACCCTTCTCTGTGGCCCTGTGGAATTCACTTCCTCCTTTGCGGGGCCTGTAGAATGAGAGCCACAGGTGCCTTGGGTTCTGCATTTCCTGGTCAGCCACCAGTGTAGGCCAAGTAGGAAACACCCGGCTTCAAAGGGCTTAAAGTTGATAGGGCTGTCTTAAGAAAGAGGAGTGCCACTTGCTCCAAGTTCTTAGTGCTGCCCAAACTTGATTGTGTAGTTCCTCCTTTCTGGAATGAACTCGTGACGCCATACTCTCTCTCTTTCTCTTTCTCTCAATTTCTTTGTGAAGACCAATGACTTGACCTCTGTGCACCTGGGGGTGAAGTTCAGCTGCCGCTTTAACCTGCGGGAAATCCAGGAGAGGTGGTATGCGTTGCTCTACGACCCTGTGATCTCCAAGTAAGTCCCGTCATTCAGCCGTGGTGGTGGGAGGTATGGAGACCGAACCAGTTCCTGACGCCTTAGGGCTGAGGGGAGGAGTGTCCTGTTTCTAGAGGCAGGGAAAGAAGAAAGCACTTTCTGCCCAGTATGGCAGCCGTAGGGAGTCTTCATCAGATGACTAGAACCAGATCAGATGGTGCTGGGAGGCCGCTCTGTAATCCGGGAGAAGAATGGGCATTCATTGGGCTCCAGCAACGATTTCATTTGAACACATACTTGGGAAATAAATATTTTGCAATCAGTGGGGTTTACTTTCACACACTTTCTGGAAATGGAGGGCTTTTTGTGTTCTGAGATGTGGCAAGCTATTTAGGGCATCTTCTTGTTTGTTTGAAATAGCCCACAAACGTCCTGATAAAAATGCCACCACAGACTGAAGTGTTGGTACTAATGGCTGCTTTCAAAATAATGGCAAAGAGGAATGGAAAGTGGGTTTTTTTCTCTCCCGTCCATGTGAGCATCTGAACTTATGCTCTGTAGAGATGGGCAAGGACTAGAGATGGGGGTAGTTGTATACGAATATGACTATCCCTGCACAGGTGGCATTAATGTGGGTTCAGCCCCGTGGGACTGGACGGTCCACTCACCGAATATCCCTGCACAGGTGGCATTAACGTGGGTTCAGCCCCATGGGACCGGACGGTCCGCTCACCGATCCGATGCGGACGGCGCAGTTGTACCAGTGGCTCTGCAACTCGAAATCCGCTCGCCACTCCTGGCAGGAGGTGGGAGGACAAGCTTCGCTGCAAGGCCAAAGAGCGGCGAGCAGATTGTGCGCTGCGGAGCTGTTGGTAAAAACATGCCCCCTGCCTTGGATCGGTGAGTGGACGGCCGGCCCCAGGGGGGTTGGACCCTTGTTAGCACTGCCTGTGCGGGGAGAGTCGCCTTTGTATATGCATACCCTCATCTCTAGTCCAAGGCCCTTGATTTGGGGAGACCTGCCGTCTGAAATATGGAGGGTCCTGGGAGGAGAAAGGCTACATACATACCAAAACAGATTTGGGGAGGTGGGTCTATGCTCTGGTGGAGGGCTGGCATGGCTCCCCCACAGCCCATGGGTTGCTTCTATCCCTCTCTTGTTTTTGCAAACCTCTACCCTGGAGGGGGCGGGGAAGGAGGAGTGCTGCTCCTGGAATCCTCCAGGAGTAGTGATGCACCTCTCAAGCAAGGATGTTTCTGCAGCGTACATAAGTGAATGTCTGCTTTTGGGGGAAAAGTGGGGGGGGGAACCCACACATTTTTAAGGGAACCCAGCTGGCCAGTGGCAGGTCCACTGGGACTCACTGCAGTTGCCAAGTTCTGGACTACCATGAATTCTAGTGTACCATGAGTTACCATGGAGGTTAGAGGGGAAGGAAGCAAAGGTAGCCCTCTTCCTGTTTATCCTTATTCTTTTTGTTGAGAAGGTCTGTTTTGGGGTTTTTTTCGCTCTTGGATGAATCCTTTTGGGAAGAGTGGAACTCTCTCTATTGCTCCTTTTTCTTTTCTTGACGGGTGGGCATTTGGTCCTCCTCTCTTTTTTCTCCCAGGCTCTCTTGCCAAGCTATGCGGCAGCTGCATCCTGAAGCCATTGCATCTATTCAGAGCAAAGTGCTCTTCAGCAAAGCAGAAGAGCAGCTCCTGAGCAAAGTGGGATCCGTAAGTTGGTTGAAGCACCGACGGGCCCTTGAACCCCCAGTTCTGCTGACCTTAGAATACATCACGGCGGGGTGCAGAATAGCTCATTTTCTACCATGCCTTCTCTGCGTGAGAGGCCCTGTTGGGTCAGGCTGCTTCCTCTAGCCTTTTGTTTGCTTGATAACAACCTAACAAGTACAAGGTGCTTCTTCATCTAAATATACCTGTGCCTCTTGGTGTGGTTTGTAAGACAACTGTATCTCTCTTTGGAACCAATGAAGAGTCCTTAAAAAGTTTGTGTCATTGCAGATTAAGTTCACACCAATGCTTTTTTTCTGTTTTTTTGTTTGTTTGTTTTTTTGGTAGCTGGGGACATCTTTAGACCCACATTTAAACCTGAGTGTAGGGCCCTATTTATGGAAACTAAGCTGGGGCAGGAGTTCGATTTGCTTTTGCTCCCATCTCCCTATTTCTTTCTGCAGACAAGCCAGCCCACGCTGGATACCTTCCAAGACCTGCTGCACAAGCACCCAGAGGTTTTCTATCCTTCTCGCACGGCCAAAGTGCTGCAGACGCATTGGCAGCTCATGAAGCAGTATTACCTCCTGGATGATCAGACAGGTGGGGCGAAACTCTGTGCCCTTGCTTCCCCCCACCCCCAAGTTTCTGAGGCTGAGGTCTCTGCTGGAAGTGGAAATGATCCTTTGCCCTCTCTGCTCCCATTTAGTGCAGCCACTGCCCAAAGGGGACCAGGTGCTCAACTTCTCGGATGCTGAAGACATGATCGATGATAGCAAACTGAAGTAAGTGGAAGGGGCTGGGGCCACATGAACCATCCAGACTCCAGCACAAAAGAAATGCTGCTCCATATTCCAGGAGGCTCAGTAAAGTAGGCTTGGGGATCATAAAAGGGACTAGAGAGGGGTCTGGGTACATCAGCCGCATGGAACATGCTTTTGAAAAGTGACATAGAGCAGTTTTAATTAGCTGCTACTGTTTTTACTCCTGCTATCATCACTGATGTGATTTCATCTCCATGTTCTTTTTTTGTAATTTGCCTTGGATGTGTGAAAGCAGAGGAGGGCAGAGTGGGTAAACAAATCAACAAATAAACAGAAAGCTGGGAGGTGCTTTACTATGAGTCAAGCCATGGGTCCATCTAGCTCAGTACTGTCCACACTAAAAGTGGCTGGAGAACTGTCTTTTATGATCCTGTTATGCAAATAAAACAACTTGGTCCCCAGGGCTACCCAGTAGTTCTTTGAGAGATCAAACGTTTGTGTTTGGACTTTGCAAGCCAGAATCCCAAAACTAATTATTGGTAGAAATCCTATTTATTTTTTACACAGGTGGAAGACAGATGGTGTAACATTCATTCAGCAATGAAAGAGTCCCTGCTGGGATTCTTGAGTGTATGCCAATCCAGCAGGCATATGTGTCCCCAGGAATCACAGCAGCGACTCTTTAATTGTCAACTAGAAGGAACTGAATGTTACATGATCTGCCTTCTGCCTACCTAGTAATGCAACAGAAATTTAGCCATTGTCTGGATTCAATGGTATTGAATTTTTCACAAGTCTACCATGCTCCAATGGGAGAACCTAATTTGAATATTCTGGTCATCTTTGATTCTTCAGTTTTGAGCATTAGCGTGAAAAATTGACAAGCAAGGAAAAAGCTCTGTTCTTGCCCCCTCCGCCACAATTGTCAGTTGTCTTCCATACATAGAGGTTAATCTTCAGAATAGAAGAGAACGGAAAATCAGCATTTCTGATTGTATGGAGAGTGTCACAGATAATGCAGTGGCTCCTTTTGAAAAGTCACCCAACTGCAACAGGGGAGGAAGGGAGCTAAGGTGCTGTCCCTACTTACACAGTTACCCACATGGATTCCTAGCAGCCCAGTAAGGTTTATAACTAACATATTGCACATGGCAGAGTCTTAATTCAGCCTCTGTGTCCTAATGTGTCCCCCAAGCTCTGTTTTCCAGGATGGAGCAAGATGATGGTTAAAAACTGGTAATAATGGCATGTGGTCAGTTAGCAGTCTAAGGTTTCCTTAACCTTCTTCTCTCTCTCTCATTCTCCCCATAGGGATGTACGAGATGAGGTGTTGGAGCATGGTGAGTAGGTTTCCTCTTGATGCGATTTGGAACAGTGTGTGGCACAAAAAAGAAGCCCTCTGTTTAAGGGTCCCATTTCTGCCTAGCTGTGTATATTAAGCGGTGTGGTTGAGACCAGCCATTCTCAACCAGGTCCATATGGTTCCTGGCGGGGAGACCCGATACATTTGAAGGAGGCCACAGGCTGGAAACAATTCTTTACACACCACCTTATAAAGTTTTTAATGTGACTTATACAATCCTGATTTGGCTTATAATTGTTTCATATTGTGTTTATGGCTGTGGCCAAAAAAAAAAAAAGGTTGAGAATGGCTGCTTTAGAGTATAGTATCCCTCTCCAAACAACCCTATTTCTGGATAAAATAGAATTAAATCATGCTCCTTTAAAATCAAAATTGCTTCTAAGAGTTATCAGTCCTCTTGGGCTACTGTGGAAAAAAAGCAGAGCTGAGTTTTCTGTGCTACAGAAGGATAGAAGGTTATCCTTTACATCCAAAGTCCTGTCTAATGATGCTAGACAACAGCAAATATTACCTCTAGTGCCAGTGTGAGCAGAGTGAGACCCTAAAGCTGCATGTGACCAATGCAGATCATTTTTGTGTCTCCCAAGCCCCCCCCCGATTGTTTTTTTTAAAGAAGAAAGGCGTCACAGAATTGCTGCTACAAATTGTGGCTTCTGTGTTGCTTGCGCAGTTCTGCAGTAGCATCTAGTCACTTTTCAGCCTCCAAATCCCACCCACCCCATGTTTGGCTATTGATAGTCATTAAGCTATGAAAGAGCCTATTTTAGAATAAAAGGCTTGTTCTTTGGCGTAATAATCGTGATTAAATAAATTTTTTAAAAGTCTTCAATCTCCATGTTTACATCCTGGAATAAAACTTCCAGAAATAGCAACCAGGAGGCTCATTCTCAGAAGTCAACATGGTTATCATGATCGTAAAGGCAAAGAACCACCATTTAAAATTAAAGGGGAAAATACTCCTTTAAAACTCAATAACAGAAACAAAAAAAAAGTTTTGAATCTGACTCGATGCAATAGCAGAATTGTAATTTTTTTAAACCTTACTTAATCTTACTCATTTTATCAGAATCTTTTGAATAATACACTAATGTGAATATTACTGGAATTAGAGATGATTAAGCAGTGTAACATATGAAAAATGGCTCTCAAACCCCCTGGGTTTGCCCACCGCTGCTGTTATGGAATGTTGCACTTCTAGCAGCACTGGGTTTGTCCTTGGCTGTCGCTGCCTCGCCCAACTTCGTGCCTTTCAGAGGTTTTGGATACAGCAGTAGCCTGACGCCAGGCCAGGGAGGCCCGCATGTTTCTCCAACATGTCTTTGTTTTTCCTTCAGATACATGTTTGTCATGCTTGCTTCCGTTCTCTTTGCAGAGCTAACTGTGGCAGACCGGAGACAGAAGCGGGAAATCCGGCAGCTGGAGCAGGAGCTACACAAATGGCAGGTCCTGGTGGACAGTATAACAGGTGAGCGAAGGCCCTCAGGGCTTCTCCTTGGGTGGCAGCGCCTGAGCTAGGATGACAAGCATTCAGGGCTAGCCACAGGGCCAAAGCAAGATGTGCTCCTGAGCTCTGTGGTGCTAACAACCTACCCAATCCCTCCATGCGCTACATGCAGAAGTTTCAGTTGACTCCTGCCTACTTCCAAAGGCCCTGTCCATCTGATCCAGGGGTGCGCACAGTGTAGGCTGCATTCTGCCTCCTGTGCCGGGTTTTGATGCTTCCACCCAGTGAGTAAAAAAAAAAGGGGGGGGCCATTTTTGGAAGCCTGTAGGAACTGCAGTTTTGGTGTAAATTTCTCCTCTCGTTGCCATCTCTTTCAAAACAGCCAAGAGGAAACAAGAGCATGTCTAGCCGCCTACTGCATCAGTGATGCCTGGGGGTTATGTTTTGTTTTCATTTGGGGTGGTGGTGGTGAACGTGGAGATTTGACCCCTGAATCTCATCTAATCTAGTCTCTCCTTTCTACCTCCCAGGGATGAGCTCCCCTGACTTTGATAACCAGACGTTGGCTGTGCTACGTGGAAGGATGGTGAGGTACCTCATGCGCTCCCGTGAGGTGAGTCCAATCTTTGGTTAATCTTCATAAGTTCAGACAGTTCTGAACATTCCCTCGTAGGATCATGTCACGAGAAGCATATATCCCATGGTTTTGTTAATAATGGACTTGTCACCAATAGCCAGCAATAGATTATAAACTCCGCCCCCCCCAGAAAATGCATAGACCCAACATACATCTCAAATGCTTTTAAAGAATAACAGAATTTGATAACTACTGTATTTTTTCGTGTATAAGACATCCCCATGTATAAAATGCCCCCCACTTTTCTAAATCAAAATTTATTTCTTTGCAAGAAAGTGGAGGGGGGGAAGCTCCTGCTTTCCCCCTACATTTTCATTGCAGAAAACAGCTTCCCCCCTCCAGGTTATGCAAAGAAAATGCAGGGGGGAAGCGATTTCTGCTTTTCCCCCTACATTTTCGTTGCAAAAAGCAGCTTTCCCCTCCAGGTTTGATCCCTTCCCCCCTTACTTCTGTGTACAGTATAAGACGATCCTCAGTTTTAAATCTAAAAATTTTAGAAAAAGTATTGTCTTATACAGAGAAAAATACCGTAAATATCCTGAGAAATCCTAGGCTTTTCCCACAAAATGGGTTTGTCAGTTGAGTGATACATTTCTTCTGTCCTTCACTTAACCTTTTCTTCCTTTCTGCCATCAAACTGTGCCTTCTCCGGTAATGGCAACATCGCTCTCCATTTTGGAATGGAGGATGCAAATTCAGCAACTTAATGTACTGTGTTGATTTGCCTAATTAATTTTTATTGCTGAATAATAATTTCCTAGGAGCATAGTTCCAATTCGCTTGACACACTGTCTCGAATGGCTTTGCTCATTTTCTTTTTCAGATCACACTTGGCAGAGCCACTAAAGACAATCAGATTGACGTGGATTTAGCACTGGAGGGGCCAGCCTGGAAGATATCCCGTAAACAAGGTATGGGCCATGGAGCCACAGCCTGTGGATTGCTGGTGCTGAAGTGATGCTGAAGGAGGGAGGTTTGAAGGATGATTGTGCTAGGGGGTTGAGAGAGGAGCTAACTCCAAGCCCTGGAAAGTAACTAACTAGAGTTTTGTGCTTTGGGGTTATGCACTTAATGAGAATAACACAGAACTTCAGGTGCACGTGTGAGCTGTGGCCTCAACTTTGGAGGTCTTCCTGGGAAGCAATTGTGGTTGTGTTTTCTTTTTTTTTTCCTTTGAAAGTCTTCTTTCTCCTCACTTTTCTTCGTGTGTGCATACACAGGGGTCATCAAGTTGAAGAACAATGGTGACTTTTTCTTAGCAAATGAAGGGCGGCGTCCCATTTATGTTGACGGGCGCCCTGTGCTTTGTGGCAGTAAATGGAAGCTCAGCAACAACTCTGTGGTTGAGGTGAGGTGGGGACCTTGTTTTTCTGATCTAGAAACTATGTGAAATTTATGGTGAGCAGGCTGGAGCAAGCTAAATAGGGTCACTAGGAGGATTGACATGCCATTTACTCTCATCCTCACATCCAAATGGCACGTGGACCTCAAGTAACTATTTGGTCAGCAGCAGTCCACTGTCAATTTGCTGATACTGTGAAGTGGCTTAAGAAGAGAGCCACCTCAGGATATGGTTAAGTTAAATACTTTATTGGATGCTAGGAGGAGCATAGAAAATGCAATGATTATTTTAAAGTGTATTAGGGTGGCATAGTTTCACTGCACCACTTTAGAAAAATAAGAACAAATGAAAAGCTTTATCTTAGAGGTGAGAGGAGACAGGAGGGAGCAACAAGGGGAATTTTGTTTGCTTTAATCTTAACAGTTTGGCTCCTCACAGCCAAATCATTGCCCCCTCCTATTTCCTCCCACTTCCAGAAGGAAGTTTTCAATTTGTCTTTTTTTTAAAAAAGTGGCAGTGCATCTGCCCTGCCCTAATACACAAAACATTTTGTTTTAATTTCATCTGCACCTCCATAGAGTGAAGTGTTTGATTTTCTAATATCCTGAAGTGGCCCTGGTCTTAAGTCACTTCACAATATGGCAAATTTGAAGAAGAAAGCTTGCTTTTGGTTTTTTCCCAGCCATCACACATGCTGGAATTGGACCAAAAGTGAATGATCCTACCCCCACCAAAAAAATAGAAGCCCTTGACAAGGCCTAGAAAGGTGTGTGTAGGGCTGCTGTGAGGGCAGGCTAGTTTGCTCCAACAAAGATGTCTGGTTGCCAACTTGAGAAGTGAACCAGAGCAGCTGCACAGCAGACCAAACAGGCTAAATGCCCATGTTGTCACCTCATGTTTTCCTAACTCTTTGTCACACACCAAAATGAAGTTGCTGTCCAGAATAGTACTGTAGTGGACCTGCCTGGTGCTAGAAGCTCCTGTATCTTGCCCCTACTTTTGATTTTTGAACAGTGGCAGTGGATTCTTCATGACCTAAATGAAGGAGGTGGACAGACTTGTTCATTAACATGAGCCTTGTGCTGGCAGATAGGCAGAAAAGTGCATCTGGAGAACCAGGGAGTATTTTCAGAGCTTCCTAGCTGGGTTGACATCATGGGTCACTTCAGCAGTTAGAGAGCTGAGGCCTTTTAAGGTGGGTTCAAGGAGAAAGGAAGGTGACTAGAACATAATATTGGAAGCACTCATTTTTTCTTCCATCTGCTAATCTGGCGTCTCTCTTTTTCTCTAGATTGCTAGTTTGCGCTTTGTGTTCCTCATCAACCAAGATCTGATAGCGCTTATCAAGGCAGAGGCTGCCAAAATTGGCCAGCCTTGAGATCGGGATCATACCAAAGGCATCTATCAGTGGATCTATGGGGTGTTTCTTCGCCTCACTCCATCTGCAGCAGGGACCACCATGTTATCTGCTGCTAACATGGCTTTGTCTAGCTTTGCCTCTCCTCTTGGCCAGGATTGAAACCTCTCGGTGGCCTTTTCTTCGATGGGGAAGGAGCCCTGCAGCCAACAGAAGGGCCCTGAACTGTATGGACAGGGGCTTCATGGTTTCTGCTGGCTGTGCTTGATTGTGAGATGGAGTGACTCTGTCTTCTTCCATGGAGGATTTGGGGAGGGGAAATAGGGACAGGAAGAGTCAAGGGAGCTATTAAAATCATTACCAGCCTCATCTCCTCTGGAGTGTTGTGTTGGTGCCCAGTTTCTATACAAGGTAACTTTTCAACTCTTGTCAAATATACTGTGTGTTTTGGAGTTATATCTTGCACTATGGATGTGAAACAAAGGTCAATATCCATTGGTACATATTTCTCTTCTGCTAGGGTATTAGTATTGTGCATCTGTATTGCCTGTTTATTAGGAACGACAGGCAGTTCTGCATCTCAGCTCTCGAAATGAATTTAGACCAAAGCAGTGAAAAGCCGTCTTATCCAAACTGGAAGTCTTTGCTCCCTCTTTCCCTTTACACAGCTTGCAAAAGCCTTTCTCTCTTGACCTGGCTCCATTGTAGAGACAATAAACTCCAGGCTAGGATTTCTTTGAAAACCCAGAGGCCACTGTTCAAAACATGTCCTTTTAATTTATAAAAAGGAGATCCACCATTGCATGACCCCAGTATCGCAGAGGGGACCTCTGTCCTGCTCTCCCACCAGAATAACTAGATGCACAAGCCAGGGGGCGGGGTGTCTGCTGGTACTGCACGGCCACCACCCATGCCTAACGAGCTGCCTGAAGGAAGAACTGTTATAATTAGGGGGCACTTTGCATATTTCAAGCATCTGCATGTTAAATCCATGTATTTCCTAACCCCCACAGTATTCCAGACAGGAGGGCTTTTGATAACAAAGGTCATTGAAGCAGCTCTTGTTTCCCTGATTTTTCCCAGATAAACTATGTGTTCCATCACACTTCAGAGAATTTCTATGGCTGTTTTACAGTCCTATCCTTATTATGACAGCTGCTACAGCTTTTAAACAACACTGTATCTGGACTTCCTTGGGTTTTTTTCCCTTCCCTTCTTGGTCTGTTGTCCAGAATGGGCTCCCACCTGGTACAATAAAACAAGAGATTCCTCTTTGTCAAATTTCCAGACCAGAGCAGTGCCAGAGACTGAGCTTTCCGCTATCAGGAACGCCAAATAGGTTCATAAGCCTGTCCCTTCCTCCTCTGGCCAACAGGGGGCACTGTCTGTAGCGTGGTTGTTCCCAGTGCCAATCAGCACCATCTCAAAACTTGCAGAATCGCAAGTTGGAGTCCTGGAAGATTTGGTTTCTGTATGGCATGCTGTGTCTGCAGGGGAGCAAGTTTGGGGGAGGCAGCCCTCTCTTTGGCTGGGGCTTGGCAGCTGTGTGTTGGTCCCCTGGCCCCCGGGTCCATGACTGGTGAATGAAGCCGGCCCTTCGTCAGTGTCCTTTCCTGGCCCTTGAGTCCAGAATGTTCCAGGCCAGGGTGAGCTCTGGCCAGCTGGTGGCGACCACATCCACTGGACCCGGCCACAGGCTCCATTGGGACAGGGTGCGGGCGGTGCACTATGGGAACAGAAGGTCGGGGAGAGTCCAGTGTCTACTCGAAGCGGGCTCAGCAGTGGATTCGCAGGGGCGTCTGCACAGGGAAAGGAGCTGTAGGATGGAAGGTCAGCCCGTGGCTGGGCCGGGCCCTGGGAGAGGAGGAAGAGCTGGACGGCTTGGCGCAGGGACTGGAGGCCTTCCCGCATTTGCTGAACTTGCCCGGAGAGTTCAGCCACCTAGGAGAATTGCAGAAGAGAACTACATTAGTGGCCTCAGCAGCTTCTGTTTCTCCCTTGGCTGCATGATATAAGCACACATGCATGCAGACCCCTTGTTTACAAAACATCTCTTCCCTTCAGCCTCGGACTGAACATAAATGTTCTCCTCCTGATGGGGCTGCCGCCAAGTTGCTGGAAGCCTCATACGGGAGTGCCGTGGGAATGGGAGAGGCAACGCGGGGCCTCACATTTCACATGAAAAGGAATAATTAACCTTTGCCGCTTGAAGAAACTGACCTTCATCCTATACATTTTTAGACTTTGGTAAGTTAACCATTTTGATTAAAAATTCCCTCTTCATCCAGAGAGGTATTTTGGGAGTGTGTGGGGGGGAAAAGAAATTTGAAAACCCAGAATGGAACGCATGTCCTTGCAGGGCAGACCAAGGGTTTCCCTGGGCCGGTATCCTGTCTTCCCACTGTAGCTAACCAGATGTCCCTGGGAAGCTCTCCCTTGCTATTCCCCAGGAGTGAAGAGCCGATTCTGCTGAGCGATTTCAATACCGTGGAGGCCGCTTTATGCATACAGCAGGATTCTGGGCTGTAAGAATTTTCCTACAATACTATTTCAGGCAACAAGTGAGACTTGCACACGTGAATGCTATGCTGTGAATGGCAGAACGAAAAGTTTTAGAATAGCCTTCTCTCTTGCGTACTTTCTATATACGTAGTATTAGTTTTTCAGTGGTAAACTTTCAAACGTGCAACACCCCCACCCACATACACTTGCAGGCTGAAAGTGATACAGCCCACTTAGTGTCGCTATATATATATATATTCACTCTTGTTGCAAAAAACAAACCACCTTACCGCTTGCCGCAGTTTCTCAATAGTATCAGCACCTGTTAGCTCTGGAGGGATGGTGAGCAAGCCACTGTCTGTAAGCAGAAAAACAGGTTGGATTGGCAAAAAAGCATTGGTTGGGATCACCTTACGTATCTTTTCTCTGTGTGGTGGTCTTATTAAGTGAAAAATGCTATGCAGAATGCATACCTGTGCCAGGTGAAGGACTGGTATAGTCTGGACCCGACAGGCCAACGCGGAAGCTAAAAATGGGTTTGTCAGAACTGGACCCGTCCTCGATGCCATCTACAACTCTGCAGGGGAAAACGAGAAGGGAGAAAAAATTTGAATAAATAGGAAAAGACATACACTATTCTGTGCTCAGCTCCCTTCCCCCAGCCTGGAATCCTACTAGCTGAGGACCAGACATGCCTGTATTCTCAGGTTTATCTCAACAGCAATTCCCGACTGCTAAAGGGTAGAAACAAAAGCTGACAACAACGGGGAGGATGCTAAGGGTACCAGACCCAACTTGTGATTGTCTGTAGCTGGTATTCATCAGTAGCCTTGCTGTAGAAAAACAGCAAAGCAATAGGCCATTGGTTTAAGTCTCTGGCTAAGTGAGCCAGACGTTGGGAGTTGAATTCCTAACTGTGCCTCCTTGATAAGCTAGATTTGATGATCCATAGGGTCCCTTCCAGCTCTGCAGTGGCATCTTAAAAGATTAAGGCATTTTACAGCCCACGTTGTCCGACGGACCTGATGGGAGTGGACTAGAGTCCACAAAAGCCTATGTCTGGTAAAACTGTTGGTCTTCATGGTGCTGAAAAACTCGATGTTATTTTTGCTCTTCAACTATAGTGTGTTGTAGAACAGCAGGCAAAACCTGACCTACACTGCACACAAATGCCCAGTTAGTCCAGACTCGAGAAAAAAAGCGGCTGTGTGGCAATATCTATAAACACATCATCAACAGGTCTGTTTTCCATGACTGAGTCATAGAATACAGTGCTTCGGAAAGCCAAGAAAAATGGGCAACAGATGCAGGATGTTTAGAGAAGGGAGGGGGAGGGTAAAGAAGAGAGCAGTTTGCCCAACCTCTCTGCTCCCCCTTTCTGGAAGATGGTTTCCCCGCCTCCTCTGTTGACTCCTTACCTGGGGCTGAGATCTGGGGGCCCACTGTAGGGAGCACTGTGTAGACGCAACGCTGTGGGATGGGAGGAGGTTTCAGAGCGGGGCTGGCGTGGAACATCTGAGCGTGGTGGGTAATGGTTGTGGCCTCCAAAGGAAGAAGGGCACAGGGGAACAGAGGATTCCTCGGCTGGCTCTGGAGGCAAATAGGGAGTTCTGTGATCTGGGGGGAAGAGAGTGCCAGCGACACCCTTCCCCACCACAGAGAGTAAAGTGGTGGGTTCCCTGCCACTCATTGCTGGTGACGATTCCTGTAGAGGGAAGAAAAGTAGAAGAGACAAGCTTCTATCGCAAGGGTGATGGGGTATGACGAGACACACAGACACCAGTTCCCAACCAATAATGGTTCTATTAGTCATATACTGTATATTCTTTGATTTTTGTTACTATCCCCACAGAAGAAGAAAAAGATTCCTTATTCAACACACCTTTAGGTCACATACAAGGGGCTACAAAGAAATGGAGGAAACCCTTCTCTCCCCATCCCCTGCTGCCAATTCCAGCAGTGCTTTCCAACCTGGGGTCCCCAGATGTTCTTGAACTACAACTCCCAGAAATCCTGGCCAGCACAACTAGTGCTGAAGCCCGCTGTGAATTTTGGTCCAAGAACATCTGGAGACCCCAGGTTGGGAATCAATGCACATAAGCACTTCTGTCAGCAGGAAGGCTTACCTGGATACCACTGTTTTATAAAATGATTTTTTTTTGCTGTCTTGGGTTTCCACAGAACTGTATTTTATAGTTTATGATTTACAAGTTCCGTAAACTGCCCAAAGACGTTGGTTAATGGGAAGTATATATAATAAAGAAATGATAGAAGGAGGTGCTCATGACCCTTGTGATCTCCATGGAGAGCCTTCCCACCCAATCTTTTTACTGTGCTTTTCTGTGCCATGACTGTCATACTCACTGGGAAGCTGCTGCCCCCACCCAGGTTGTAGCTGAGCTCACAGGACAGTTCCTGCCGGAATTTACTGGCAAACTCTGGGTAAAGTTCCAGGCTGGCGAGAAGGCCAGGCAAGCTCAGGCATTGCAGATCACAGTAAGTGAGGCCTCGCACGTCTGCATTGGCTTGGATCACTTGCTCCCTGGAGGAGATGTGGCAACCAATCAGGTCTCCCTTGCCTAATGGGGGAAAGAAAAGCAGAACAAAGGGCAGTGGGGGAAACAGTAGAGTTGTGAAGCCATCTTTTTTTTTTTTTGCATCAAAATGTTTATCCAAAGGTTCATTGGTGTACCACAATGGAGATATTTGGATTCACGTGACCCACACATGTGGAGATTTTTTTTCTTTTTCTTTTAAAGCAGCGAAAAGAGGCCCACAAGTGGAATGCAGTATCTATACAGCTTAAGGCTGTATAGATTATTGGGGGACAACGACAGGAAAGTAGGGTGGGATCTGTAGGTTGATTTTACTGTATTTTTATTTTTGGTGGGATGGAGAGAAGATCAAAGCATGAGTTACAGTTGTATATTACTGCTATGGTATACTACCTGAATGCTGCTATGGGGGGGTGTCACACATTTATCCACCATCTAAACAGTGTGTGGCCATCTCGCATGTCAAGAAAAAAAAGTTTAGCCTACCCCCCACCCCCAGCTCTCACCCCACACTGTACTGTCTCATGCCCAAGAGCTTCGTTGCTGTGGAGCATTCAGCTCCTCTGTGTGTGCACATGGCCTGGTGGCCCTGCTTGCACACAGAGCAATGGACACTGGCCTGGGCTCTGAAAAAGGTCCCTCATCCTGTTAACTGGGAAGGGGCAGAGTAAAGATCCTGTACCTAGGATGGCAAGCACAGTGCCGTCTTTCAGCACTTCCATAGAGCCCGAGCAGACCAGGTAGAGGGCTTGGAGGGCATCTCCTTGCCGGATCAGGTATTCCCCTGGCGTGCAGAAGGAAGTACGAACGCCGAGTGAAAGGGAGCGCCGGCAGCCCCGACTTGCCCCCTCAAAGAGGGGCAGTTGCAGCAGGTCCTTGTGCAAGTGCAGGGCAATGTCTGCTCGCAACTCATCTGGCAGGCTCTGCAGCAACTACAGAAGAAAGGAAAGGCAGTCATTTCAGGAGCAGCGTCAGTACTGCCATGCTCCTCACAGTGTCCTTGAGATCGCCACTCTTTCCCCGTAGACCAACATAGAAGTGGCAAAAGTTGGGACAAATTTGGAATGGATCCAGGTTCCATCATAATACACTGCAACTGAGGCGGTAAGGAGGCAGTGGGCAACGGGTGGCTCCCCAGATGTTGCCAGCCTGCATCTCTAGTGAGAACAGCTAATGAGAAGGAATGATGGGCATTCCAGTCCAACACCCTCTCTTCTTCAGCACCCAAAGCTGCCCACCTCTTACCTAAAGCCCACCTCTTACCTAAAACCAGATGTGGAACTCTGAGCTACCATGGATGACAAAAGTGACAGGAGAGTTTCGGTGGTTATTGGTTTCCTGTCCTAATTACTAGCATGATTCACTGCTCCTTAATAACCCTAGGAAGTAGGATAGATTGGGAGATAGTTGGTTTGGGCCAACAACTCTCCCATGATCTTCAAAGGCAACGAAGGGGGTTGTTCTATAACACTTAGGTAGAACGTCTCCACCGCCATTCCTTGAACTACCTCTGGATTTGGCTTGGTTATGCATTTGTTTATTTCTACCCCATCCCAGTATTGGCAGAACTCACGTTAGGGTATAATCGAGGATATAATTTTTGAAACAATGTAAAATGCTTCAAACAAGGTAAACAATTTGAACAATGTGAAAACAATTCATGTTGAACAGAACAAAACCTGCAATCCCAACCCACTGAAAACCAAGCCACTATCCCACTCTAGGCCCCCAAATGCTTCAGTAAACATGCCGGTTTTACTTGCTGTTGATATAAATATGATGTGGGCACCAGTAGGGCCTCTAAGAGGCCTTCCATAAACAAGGCATTGAATGATGAAAAGGTTCTCTCCTGTTTCTCCACTTTGCCTACGACTCTCAGAGCACAGAAATGTTATCTTGGTGGCTTAGAATTCCCCAAATGTCCAAGCTACGGCCATGCTGGCTGGGAAAATGAGGGAAATGTAATCCCAAAAAAGTAACTCTTCCAGATCTGACTGTTTCCAGTGGTAGAACACATAAGAGACCACCATGACCACCCTTGGAAGATTTAACTGGTTGGCCGAGTATAGAGAGAGAATATATTCGCCTGAGAGGTATATTGTCTATTTTCTCACCAGCTGTTCTCATCCAGTCCTCTTTGGGGAGAGTGAAGTTGCTCAGGGAAGAAATCTGCTTAACAAACCCTCATAAACCAAGACTCTGGGGTTTTCAATCTCACCTCACGAGTATCAATGCCATTACTGGCACTCCATGTGGCCTGGAAGTACTCTAGCATGCGCTGCTTCAGCGGTGGAGGGATACGATGGATGCGGATGTAGTCGTGAAGGTCCCGCGTGCGGCTGTGGTACAGGAAGCGGCGAGCGTACATGCGCTGGATGATGGCTGTCACGTTGCCAAAGACGACAGCATGCATCAAGGCTGGCAGGCCAAGACGGGGTGGTGGTGGGGGAGGGAAAAAAGAACAGAACCAAAGCTAGTCTGGGAAATACGGCCAATGCCCTAACCGCTAGCCCTGCTCCCAATACCATGGAATAAATGATCACAGAAGTGTCTTGGGGAGGCAGGATTGTCCACAAGTTGTGGTTCAGGAAGTACAATGTTTAAAACAAGGCAGGATAGCCAAGTCCCTGGTCTTCTCCATACCTGGCGAGCCATCTCTGGCCACCCAAAGACCTGGCAAATCAGACCTGTGCAGCCTCCTGTTTCTCCATCTAGGAAAATCAACCTCCAGTCATGGGTCCTGGACAGGACTGGCAGTAGGCAGGGGTGTGGGCCTTCCCCTGTTGCTAGCTAGGCTCCCTGCCCTGTTGCTTGGGCTGCTTTGAATACTTTGGCCTCCCAACTGGGATGCCGAGAGAGTTCTTCCTGAACTCCAAAGTGTTTCCTCCTGTCAGGGGGCAGGGCTGTCTATGCTGTACAAATTGTTCTGTGGCCCTTAACCTGGGCAGCGGTTGGTGTGAAAGAGGACACTCTCCTATTCCCAATTCTGAAATAAGATTCAACTGTCAGTCTAGTCAGTCTTTCATACACAGATTAGGAATGGGGTACCATTTCTTTGCTACTTTTGTCTTAAGTAGGACACCTCCTTGAGCCAGCTCTGTTCCTAAAGGCTGGCCACAGACAACACTAATGACAGGTTTACTGTATCCTCCCTCCCTCTCCCTCTCCCCCCCTCTCTCTATTTCTCTCTCTCTCTCTCTCACCTGCTCTTCTCTGATGAAGACAGTGAGAAGCAGGCAATTCACAGCCCCTGCCAGTCATTTAATCCACCTCCTAAAAAGAACCAAGATGAAAAAGCCATCTGGTTCTCTTTTCTGCCACAAGGAAAAGGCCTCAGAACAGAAGAGCTACCTTGCTAGATTTGGGCATTGTACTAAAATAAAAAGGATAATAATAGAACGAGATACTTGCCCTGTTGTCATGATAACCAGGAGCCCAAGTTAAGAAGCTGAAAACAGGGAGCCCGGAGCTGGAGAAAAGAGGCAGTTGAGCCTCTGCCCCGGATGTCCCACCTGCCCAGCCCCACAGACCCCGTGCGCCGTCCCCAGACACCCCAGGCTGAGAGCCTCACTCACCCCCCACCAGCATGGTACATATGGAGAAAATTTTCTCTGAGTCCGTGTTGGCCGACACGTTGCCAAAACCCACGCTGGTCAGGCTGCTGAGGGCGAAGTAGAGGGATGTGATGTAGGAGCTTCTCAGGGAAGGGCCTCCCAGGAGCTCCCAGGCGCTGCTATTCAGGGGGGGATTCGTCCGGTTGGTGGAAGAGTCTTCGCCACTGCTGTTCCTCTGCACCAAGTAGTAAGGAGTCTCGAGTCGGCGAGCCAGCTCCTGCAGCCAACCTGGGAGGAATTGGGGGGTGGGGAGAGGTCAATGGGGTGAGAAGAACCAAGGCCCTTCCTTGCCTGGAACGCCAAGTCCCTCACCCAGTCTCAGGAGCCCTGGGCTCCAAGCAGACAGCTGACCTAAGGCATGCCTTGTCATTAGAGTCAATGCCCTCTCAGTACAGAGCGCGCCTCTGTGGCCATGTGTCCTACTTTACAAAGAAGCCTTCTTCATTTGAGGAGCTGGCAGAAAGCCGTCCCGTCCTCTGAGGACATCCTGTCTTTCTCTGTGGCTCTCCAGATGGGGGTTGGACAGTAATGCCCTCACCAGCACAGACCAGAGTGACCGATGCTGGGAGACGCAGCCCAACAACACCCCAAGGGACATACTCTGCCCACTTCTGCTTTATTGGAAGGGTGCTCTGGTCAAAAACAATGTGAAGATTTTTTTAAAATTGTAAGAAGGGAGAGGGGGCAGCTTGAATTGAGTATCGGCATCATTAGGACAGAACAGTTATTGGCCATGCAGATCAACTTGTCACAGTCTCCCCTCTAGGCGAACATGCATTGCATGGGTGTATATGTGCGTGTATGTGTGCGTGGGTGATGTCAAGTCAGTTCCAACTTGGGGTGACTTTTTCCAGGGTTTTAGAGAATACTCAGACATGGTTTCCATTCCTTGGGAGTGTGCAGCTTGCCCAAGGCCACGTAGGCTGCCTCTTCTTCCAGGAGGCACTCTGTGAATTCCCAACCTATGGCTGTGCAGCCAGATGCCTATCCCACTGAGCACAGTCACTCGAATTATCATAATTACTTCTGTACATCTAAATGAGCATATGCATACTTTATGCCTCTTTTTGTTAGAATGCATTTTTTAGAATGCATCTCCTCTCATGGAAATGGCCATCCAGAATGGGCTGTCTTCTCCATGGGCCAGTCACATAGCTCTGGGCACCAAGTAGACATTCCTAGATCCCCACTGACCCTGCTTTGCTCTCTTGCAAGGTCTAAAATGGAGAAGGCAGAAAGCTCTGTGGTGTGACAGTTCCACTGGGTATCACAGATAATCACTGCTTATACGTCTTCATGGGATATGCTTAACCATTTTACAGAAAGGATCCAAGATGCTGGGCATGCTGGCTTGTGGTTTGTGGTTAGCTATAGAGTCTCCTAAAGAAAGTAACTTCTCAGCTCTGAAATTGATTTGGAAAAAACACAGGACTGGAGTCCTTACATTTCATACTGGAGGTTAAGAGAGGTTTAACATCTGTCAGACTTTTCCCCATTATTATTATTATTATTATTATTATTATTATTATTAATGTTGTTGTTGTTGTTGCCGCCGTTGTTGTTGGCAGCTGTTGCTATTGCTGGTGGTGGTGGTGGTGCTGCTGTTGTTGTCGTTGTTGGGGGTGGGGAGGAAAGTGAGGGTTGTGTAGCTGATGTAGGATCGTCGTAGGGTCTCTTTTTTCCCCCCTTCCTCTTCTGCTTAGAGAGAAGGAAAAAGGAGTCGGTGAGAGACATTGGGCGGGGGTGTGTGTCAGAAAATGAACGTCGTCGGCCTCGCGATCGCTCTCTTTTTGGACGAGGTGGATAACGAAGCGTCGGTTGTTGCCGTAGCCCTGGTTACTTTTTGAATTTTTTTCGGGAAGCCAGCTGGGATATACTTTTTTTTATATTGAACAGAACAATTAAAACTAATTGACCTATGGAAACTCAGAAATCCGAACAGAAGAAACTATACATTTTACTCAAACAGACATAAATCATGGTCAAGAATAGATAATTGTTGGATAGCAGCGGAAGCTATACATCAAGCAGAGGACATTGAAATTTTACCAAATACTTATGCAGACCATAATCAAATATTGATGACATTAGGACAGAGGACAAGGATTGGCTTTTGGAGACTCAACACGCAATTGTTGAGAAAAGAGACCTTCTTGAATAAAATTAAAAATGAGATGAATTTTTTTTCCCAAATCAATAAACCTTAAGACACAGTAATGACAGTGATATGGGACACAGCCAAAGCATATTTCCAAGGATACACAATAGAATTTAATATCCAAAAAAAGGGGGAAAGGAATAAACAATATCAAACCCTAATAACATCTCTTTAAAAAGAGGAAGCAGTGCTAAAGAAGGCAACAACAAAAAAGGGATTACTTAGTAAAATAAACTTTTTACAGCCTAAAATTAATTTATTAGAACAGGAAGATATGGAGAAGAAAATCAAATTTGCAAGGCAAATTTTTTTTGAAAATGCAAACAAATTGGGAAGATGGTTAGCGTACAGAATAAAAAAAGGGAGAGAGAGAAAACGATGATCACGGCAATATTTGATAAGCAAGGAAAGGAAGTATATAAACAAAAGGATATTGAAAAAGAAATTCATGGATTCTTCACCGAACTATATAAGAAAAGAGAAGGAGAAGAAGAGAGATAAAAAAATTATTGGAATAATATCCCAGAATGGAGGCTGACTCAT